CCCCCCCCAGGGGGGATGGCCATGCCGCCATCCCTTCTCTTCCATTCTCCTCTCGGGATCTTGGGCACGCACGCACACGCACCTGGTGTGAGTTTTAAGCCACCGGGTCTGGGACACAAACCGCGGTCGACTACGTAGGAGTCCAGCGACATAGCCACTATGCTAACTGCTGGTCCCACCTTTGTATTTCAAAATCAAACCAAAATACCACAAATATAATCAAAAAGCTAACAATAAACTAGGAAAAAGACTTGTACGGTATATTATAAAGAGTTCATTGTAATAATACATACAAAACACTTATAAATCAATAAGAAAAGAATTCCCTCTCCCCCCCAGGTACTCCAAAAGATGAATAGGTAAAGGATGTGAACAACCACTTCATTAAAGAAATACAAAGGGACAATAAATATATATTGTTTTTAAAAGGTCGACTCACTAGTAACCAGTAGCACAAATCAAAAGATTGCCTTCAGTTCCGTTCTGATTGCTTGGGCATCTATGCACTGCTAGTGGGGGTGCAAATTAGCCTTTCTGGTGGATAATCTTAAAGCCTTAAAGGGCCATGAACGAAGCTTATTTTGAATTCATCCTTCCTTTTAATATATATTACAAAATCTCCTAATTATATACTTTTCTCCTGCATACTGTGAACCATTTTTCCATTAAAGTTGTATCTTTTTCGTTATGAGACTATTTTATCATAATTGAAAAATAAAGCCAATATTTAGGGAGGTGTAGCAGCCAGCTTGGTGGACCGTGGCCTTCTCTTATCTCCTTCAGAAAGTCTTCTAGCATGGAGGATATAAATGTAACATCTGGCAGTAATTCACATTTGAGAACCTCTGTTCTCAAAAATGAAGTTAGGTGAAAGGATGTAAAAACACAAAACTCATTTGACATATAGAAGGTATTCTACCTAAACTCTTTTCTGGAAAAAGGTGGAATAACAAAAAACTTGCATGTATTAATGTTATTTATGCTATGTAAATAAATAATAAAATTCTTATTTCAAGAAAACCAAAATATTCAAACATAAAAAGTGCAGAGGAGATACAGATAAATCTGAAAACTCGACTTACCCTCTTAATAGACTCATTCTCCAATGAGTGTGAATTATACTCAGAAGTGGCAGCAGAAGCCATACTGGAAACTCTATCAAGAAAGACAACATGCGATATCATACTATATCAATTGAATTTGCAAGCAATTTCAAACACAATTGATATGTAAGCTTCAAATACTGCAACTGAGATCATACGGCACCATGTTGCGACCCCATTTCTGTATCAGGCACCTCAGGAATGAGACATCTGAATCACTAGCTGAGACAACGTAGGCAACTATGGAGGAAGAGAACTTGGGAACTGAATCCAGTAGGAATTTTTATTCCTAGTGCTCAGGCTGTTGTCTAGAAAAACTTAATATTTGTTAATAGTGCAACAGGCCTTAAATTTCTTTAGAACATCTTAATTTTTAAAGATAATTTAGAGGTAGTCAAGCAGAATGATAAAGGGTGAACAATTTCACTCTATTGCATGTTCAAGAATTCTGCTTTCACTAAATTAAGGCAGTTTAAAGTGGCATGAATTTGACTGAAATCAAATTAGTAAGATCTGATTTAATTGGTATTTACTAGGGACAATACATACTTCATTTAATTAATGCATACTCATCACAATTTGGACATAAGTGAAAGCATTACATTCAGAACAGACACAAAACCATTTCAACACAAGGATCTGTTTAAACTTTTGAAGATTATAACAACAGAAAGCTGTGATAAATAAAATAGTCGAGGCCTTACTTAGCTATCACAATTAATGGCACAGAGAAATACATTTGAAGTTACGGGGAGGAAGGCCACAACCAACTCAACCTGGTGACAGTGAATGTCTACAGTATCTTTTTTTACCAGGCCCCTGAAAAAAGCGACCCCATAGGAACCAAGCCCAGAATGTCAACAGGTCATGCACAACACCTAGTGATTTGTGAGCTTCACAGCAGTGGTCACTATCCTTGAGAAAAGACCAAGAGAGGCAACAAAGATATGGATAATGGCAGCCACTAGGATGAATATGTGGTTGATTATGCAGAAAATACACAATATTGTCAAACGTCACGATGGGGCAAACTTGTACATTGGTTCACCAAATCCCACAATGTGAGAACTAGGCAAATACCACTTAAGCGTAAAAATTAACAGTAAAGGCAACATACTTCTTTATAGGAAGGGGCACTCAACTTCAGAAACTGGGACCTACTAAGAGGTAGTGCAAACTAAAATTTAAAACAACTTTTAAAAGAGATAAAGGAAAAACTCTGAAATGAATACAATTCAGACATAAAAGCATAGTATGCTTTGAAAAATCCCTCCAACAGTAAGTTTAGGTCCAAAATATTCCATCACTCTCAGAGACAGAAGAATGGATGGATGAACTAGCCAGTGCAAGTCAGATATACATGAGACCTTCAAAAACTCACATACAAATGTGTAGTATAAAAAAATCTATGTGTTGGGGACAGCAAGTGGTGTGGTGGTTAAGGTGCCAGACTCCCATGTGACTGACTGCAGTTGGAGTTCTGGACCTGGCAGCTTGCTTTCTCACTTTTTCTTTCTCACTCTGTCTCTCTGCTCAAATTAAAAAATAATAACAACAAATAAAATTACATAGATAATCCTTTAAAAAATATGTGCATGGATTTCAAAAATTTGTGTGCCAAAATAAACTCGTACTTTAATTCCTTTCTTCATGAACTTCTGGAAATCCCCTTATGTTTGCCCAAAATTATTCTACTAATTGACTGAGATTATACATGGGGGATGGATGATTTTCTTCAGTAAGAGAGATAAAATTATTTTTTTTTAGTAATCAGATACTTTAATATTTAAATGTTTTACTAATATAAGTCAACATTTTAAAACAGAAGTCTTCATGGCTAAAAGTCCTGTTTTTAGGGTTACACCATACACTGCTACTGTGAAGAGCTGATTCGAGTACAAATCTGAGCAACCCAAGGCTCCAGGTAATGTACACTGGTTGCAGCAAGAGGGTACATTCAAATCTCAGTGGGCCTCCCTCTGTCCAGTAGTTTCCACTGAGCCTTGAAGTACACAGTCACTGAACAGCGCTAAGCTTGAGAGCACAGAAGGCAGAGCCGGCTTCATTCAAATGCTGACTCTGGGACTAACTACTGTTGTTGGCTTCTGGCAGGTTGCTTCACCTCACTGGGCTTAGGCTGCTATTACCCCTGTTTTACTTCATTACTGTTGGGCATGTGAAGGGCTTAGAATCATCCAGCATACCTGTTAACAGTTACTAGCATTTTTTCAATTATGAAAGGATAATTAGTGAATATCGAGGCCTTAATTTTTTTTAAAATGAATTAGTCCTGACCTTAGAAATACTTAAAAGAAAGTTAACTATTGGGTCATCAGGAAAGTCACGACACAGTTTTGCATGAAAAAAACATGGAAAAATACATAATGACTTTCCTGACGACCAACTGTACTATTACAGGGATGATGCATGGTTGGTGGTGACAGTTGGAAAGTTTTTTTTCTAAAGTACATAACAAAAACAATTCAAACAGACTGACAGGAAGCGGTGAGGCTCTGTGGAAGATGATAGGCCCTAGACAGGCAATCACATGTCTCAGGCTGTCTCGAACTTACCAAGCAAGGAAAGCTCAGCCCTATCTTACCTATAAAGGGACTACACTGGACTAAAGGAGGTTCAACAAAAATCAGAAGCCAGAATGAAGTTTATGAAAATTGCATACCCTTGCATTATACAGTATTTTGTCTCAAGTCCCAAACAATCAACTTTTAATCCTTTGTATTAAAAACAAAACAAGGAGGCCAGCAGGTCACACAGTGGTTAAGATGCTGGATTCCCACAGGGTGAAGTGCAGTTCAAGTCACAGAGCTGGAAGCTTGAAAATCAAGCCAGGCAAGTGTGCATGCGTATCCAAAATTCCAGGAGGAGAATGAAGGAAAAGGGATTACAGCAAGGCCATGCCCCCTGGGGTTGATTTCTCACTTTCCCTCTCTCTTGTCTCTCTTTGGTGAGTGCACGCACCCTATGGCAAAAACTTAGTAAACAAAAATCCAAGGGCCAGTCAATGATGTGGTGGTTAATATGGCTACATCCCATATGGCTGACTGGTTTGAATCCTGGACCTAGTGGCTTGAAAATCATGCTGGTGCGTGTGTGCGAGTACCCCAAATCCGGAAAGCATGCTGGTGCGTGTGTGCGTGTACCCCAAATCCGGAAAGGCAGGAGAAATGGAGGAGAAGAGGTGATGGGGGATGCTTTCTCACTTGCCCTCTCTCTCTCTGTCTCTCTTTAGTGAGCACACACATTATCTAACAAATTGAAAGAAAAGAACACGTAAAAAGAAAGCATTGATTTTCGACTACCTACACTTAAAAGCAAAAACCGAGACTTAATTCCCTATGTGTATGTGCTAATCACAGGACTCTAACGAAAGGTCTAGTTCGGTTATTTTGACCCTGAGAAAAACCTATGTGCTGCTGCAAGCTCAATCCTCTCCTGTGGCAGACGAGAAGACTAGGGCCTGGAAGATGTGTGGCAAGCCCTGGAGTGAGTGAGTGGCGGGGCCATTTCTAGCGTGGGTCCACTAGCACTGCAGCTTGCTTCCCACCCTGGAGAGTGCTTCCCAAGAGTCATTTGAAGGAAACCACGTTGGATGGGCCTGGTCTCAATCTCAGTAGAGGAGTTTCAGACTAAGAAGCACACTTAAGAGAGCACAACTCTCCCAGTCAACCAATCTTTGAGGCCTCTAAGCCCCTTCAAATAAAGCTACAAAAAGTAGCATTATTTTTTTTTCAGAGTTTTTTTTTGCTAAAGGGCGCATGCGCTCGCAACACAGACAGAGACAGAGAGACAGAAAGCAAGAAATCACCCCCTGGGGGGATGGCCACGCCACAATCCCTTCTCCGTTCTCCTCTGGGGATCTTGGGCACACACGCACACATGCCTGGCGTGAGTTTTAAGCCATCGGGTCCGGGACACGAACTAAGGTCAACTACATGGGAGTCCAGCGACATAGCCATTACGCTAACTGCTGGTCCCAAAAGGTAGCATTATTGAATAACCAGATTTTCAAGTCACAATATGGCCTGAATTGTTTCTCTTTAAACTCAAGACAACTAACCTTAATAGGATGTCCTCCCTGCCAGTCCATACTTCCAGTTCTCTATAGCAGTTAACCACCTTTCAGGTAAGAACTGTCCTTACTGCCCACTCCCACCAAGACACAAGCCATGCAGACAAGAAGCCTCGTTTGTCTTATTTCTGTATTTATAGCACCTGAAATGGTGCCAGGCTTCCACCAGATTCTTGGGGTAGTCCTGTTAAGTGAATGAATGAATTCAGCAATGAAGGCACAGCCAAGGCACTTGCTGGTTGGTTGCCTGGATTACACTTCAGCCAGGAATTCACACAAGCTTGTTTTTTTTGTTTTGTTTTGTTTTTTTGGTTTTTTTTTATTAATTCACTATACATCATCACAACACACAAATGAATTTTCCATCCAAAATACACTGTGCATTGGTTCAATCTAGCACATCAACATACATGTTCTCAGCAAATAATTTTCCAATTCTTACATCCTGCATACCTTGCCCTTTGTCTTGCCATCCCTGATTCCCCAT